ATTTGCCCTTCCCCTTCCCTCTCTACCCCTCCCCCCTTCCCCCTTCACCTCTAATACCCTCCCCCCCTTACCACCCTTCCCTCTTTACACTAACCCCCTACCCGTCACTCTATCTCACCCCCCTCCCTCCCTTTCCCCTCCTATCCATCCCCTTCCCTTCCCCTCCCATCTGACCACGCCCTCCCCCTGTCCCATCCACATTCACCTCCCTTCCCTTCCCCTCCCAGTCAACTCAACACGACCCCTCTCACATTCCCATGCCATCTTCACCCCCCTCCCTCCATTTCCCCTCCCATCTAACCCACCTCTCCACTTCCCCTCCTTATTTCTCATCCCCCCTTCCCTTCCCCTCCCATCTCACCCTCCCTCTCTCCCTCCCTCCCTCTCACCTCCCTCTCTCAACCCTTCCCCTCCCATCTCACCCCTCCCTCTCGCCCTTCCCCTCCTATCTCCACCCGCTCCTCCCTCCTTTCCCCTCCATTCTCTGCACCCCCCTCTCCCCTTCCCCTCCTATCTCATCCCCCCTTCCCTCCCTCCCATCTCACCCCTCCCTCTCCCCTTCCCGCCCCTCTGCACCCCCACTCTCCCCTTCCCCTCCTATCTCACCCCCCTCCCTCTCCCCTCCCCTCCCATCTCACCCCCTCATCCCCCTTCCCCTCCTATCTCACCCCCCTCTCCCCTTCCCCTCCCATCTCACCTCCCTCTCCCCTTCCCCTCCCATTCTCATCCCCCCTCTTCTCTCCCCTCCCTTTCCCCTTCTCCTCTTCACCCCCCCTCTCCCCTCCCCCCTCGTTGAATTGTCTTGAACCCCCGTTTTCGTGAACCTTCCCTTCCCTTTGCAACTTCGCCCCACATGCAACACTCCTATATCGAAAGTCCTTAAAGAAAAAGTAAAAAATGAGTTTCCGTGTGCTTAGGCCTGTGTGTGTGTTGTGTGTGTGTGTGTGTGTGTGTGGTGTGTGTGTGTGTGGTGTGTGTGTCGTGTGTAAATGGCTGGGTGTGGGTGTGTGTGTGTTTGGGTGTGTATGTGTGTGTGTGTTGGATGTGTATGCTGTGTATCATATGCAGTTGCTGTGTGCGTGCGACTCTTGGGTCAAAAAACAACAACCAAAAAGAAATCAAATTAAAACTGTATTTTCAGGCCGGAGGAGGCAGCAGGATTTTGGTTCAAAGGTCATCACGGCGGGCCCTTTTCTGTTTTTTCTTCTGTCATTCGTGGAGTTCATCTTACTCGAGAGAAGCTGAAAGGTCGCGGAGGGAATACTTGCATCCCCTCCCCCCCCCCCCCCATTTCTCCTTTATCTAGTATCCCCTATCATCTCTCCCATTCCCTCTTATCCCAACTCTCCTCCTATTCTCCCACCCACCACTCTCCTCTCTCTACCCAACTCTCCCACCCTTCCCAAATCCACAAACCACGCTATCCTATTACTGTTCAACATAACCTATCTCTTCTCTCCTCTCTCTCCCATCCATTTCTCCCTATCATCCCATCTCTCTGTTCCTCTTTCCGTTTTCCTTTTCTCACAACCCGTTCTCTGTTTTTTATTATTCTCTCCCCGCTTTCTTTTTCCCTCTCCCTTTCATTTCTTCTCTTTCATTTTTCTTTTTCCTTCTCCCTTCTCCCTTTCCTTTATTCAATTTCTCTCTGGCTTCTTCTTCACACTTCTCCTTTTCTCTATCCTCTTGTCTCCTACATCTCTTCCTCTTATTCCTCTTTCTTATTCCCCTTCTTCTTCCCCTTTCCTTTCCTTTCTTCTATTTCTCTCTTCTTTCTCCTTCTCCCTTTCTCTCTCTTCTGTTGTCTTTATTTTCCTTCTCTTTTTTCTTTTTCTTTTCCCTTCATTTCTTTCTCTCTCCTTCCATCTCCCTTTTCCCTTCTCCATTCTCTTGTCCTCTTCACCTCTCCTTTCCCTTCCCTCTTTACCTTTTCTTCCTCCCTATATTGCCCTTCCCCCTTCCCTCTCTACCCCTCCCCCCTTCCCCCTTCCCTCTCTACCCCTCCCCCCTTCCCTCTTTCCACTCACCCCCTCCCCTTCCCTCCTATCTCACCCCCCTCCCTCCCTTTCCCCTCCTATCTCATCCCCCTTCCCTTCCCCTCCCATCTCACCCTCCCTCTCCCTTCCCTCCCATCTCACCCTCCCTCTCCCCTTCCCCTCCCATCTCACCCTCCCTCTCCCCTTCCCCTCCTATCTCACCCCCCTCCCTCCCTTTCCCCTCCCATCTCACCCCCCTCTCCCCTTCCCCTCCTATCTCATCCCCCCTTCCCTTCCCCTCCCATCTCACCCTCCCTCTCCCCTTCCCCTCCCATCTCACCCCCACTCTCCCCTTCCCCTCCTATCTCACCCCCCTCCCTCTCCCCTCCCCTCCCATCTCACCCCCTCTCCCCTTCCCCTCCTATCTCACCCCCCCTCTCCCCTTCCCCTCCCATCTCACCCTCCCTCTCCCCTTCCCCTCCCATCTCATCCCCCCTCTCCCCTCCCTTTCCCCTTCCATCTCACCCCCCCCTCTCCCCTCCCCCCTCGTTGACCTGTCTTGACCCCGTTTCGTGACCTTCCCTTCCCTTTGCAACTTCGCCCACAGTGCAACAAACTCTATATCGAAAGTCCTTAAAGAAAAAGTTGAAGAAATGATGTCGTGTCTTAAGGCCTGTGTGTGTGTGTGTGTGTGTGTGTGTGTGTGTGTGTGTGTGTGTGTGTGTGTGTGATTGTACGTCACTCCCACACATAGAAATATATATATGTGTATAAAAAAAGAAAAGAAAAATGGAATGTAGAAATGATGGGAAATGATAAGAAAAGAAGCATGTAAAAAAAAAAAAAAAGAAAAAAGAAAAAAAAGAGAGAGAAGAGACAAAAGAGAGGCATAAACGTAAATTGCACATGAACAAGAATGTGATGATGGTGGGAAAAAAGAATAATAATGATAAAAAAGACAACGGTGGGGAGGAAGAGAGAGAAAAAAAATCAGCAAGTCATCACAGCATCAATCTTAAGAAGAAGGAGATGGACGATGCTTTGTGTCTTAGCGGAGATGAGGCAATCAGAAAAGGGTGTAATGTGTATATTTGATGCATATGTAAATATATATTTACGCACACGCAAGCATATATATATATATATATATATATATATATATATATATATATATATATATATATATATATATATATATATATATATATATATATATGAACAATTGTATGTGTTTATATATATAAACACACACATGTGTATACTGTATACGGAAAAGAATGAATATTTTTACGTGATTATAGAGTTGTAACATTATCTTATATAAAGAATGTATAGCACGTTGTGTATTTCTTTGTATGTTTATAAATAATGCTAATACTTTAGAACAGTACAAGCGTCTACTACACTGTATACTTTTGTACATTTTCTTCTTTCTCTCTCCTTTTTTCTTATAGAATAAAAGGAGATAAGTAGTGAGATAAGAAGAGAGAGTGACAAGAGATTACAATTATTAATTTTGAAAGATTTTTTTAAATGTTTTTGTTTATGACTGTTGTTTGTATTTAATTTTTTGTGTGTGTATTTCAAAAATAAATTAGGGTTAGTGACTGAGTGTTGGACTTTCTTTACCCAATGATTGAATTTCCGTTATCGGTTGACTGCCTTCGGTGGGAGGGTTTGTACGCATGCGCTAGCAAAAATACACACACACGCGCGCGCGCACGCACGCACACACACACACACACACACACACACACAACACACACACACACACACACACACACACACACACACACACACACACTCACACATGGACAGGTATGTGTTCGTGTATACAACTGATTCAACTGCAATGCACCTTGATTAATCTAGATATCACGTTCATTTTTGCAATCTTTTTATGATCATTTTAAACTGCAGTTACTGAAACCCCCACCAACAATTGTGCCAAAGAAGAAGAAAAAAATACACATATATATGTATAATATATGTATATGTATGTGTGTTGACAAAAAATATGTATAAAAAGTACTATCTATTTATTTACCTAACTATTTATTTATGTCTTCATCTATCTATGTCTATCAATCTATATATATATATACGGCTCCGGATTTTTCCTAGAGTTCACACGCACACACATACACACACACACACACAGTCCCAGTCAACTACATGATGTCAACATGGTACCAAGCTTCGGGAGTCAACTCTGAGGAAAAATTCGGAGCCGGTGTCCATAAGACAGTTCGTTGTCGCTTACGACCTCGTTTTCTATATATATATATATATATATATATATATATATATATATATATATATATATATATATATATATATATATATATATATAAATAATTGTTTTGACCGCACCCTC